CTGGGATCGAACCCGGCACCACGTTATTACAAAGCACGTTCGGAATACCTAAACCACAGACGAGTTAGATCGTACTAAGCATAAAAAAAACAAAAAACAGAGGGGTTGGTGAGGGGAGGGAGAGGGTTGCGCTCACCAACCCATCCCCTTTCCACCTTGGAAATTAGTTTAAAAAGGGGGGAGGGTGTGAAGCCCCTTACCATCTATAGACAGTTTTGTTTGAAGTATGTGTGGGGTGGGGGAGGGGGGGGGGGTTGGAGCCCCCTACCATCTATAGACAGTTTTGTTTGAAGTATGTGTGGGGTGGGGGAGGAGCATGGCGTCTTGCTCGAGTGCTGGAGATTCCAGATTCAAGCCTCTGTGTTGGCTGGAATCTACCCAATGTATTCAAGATCCTCGCCGCTGCTACGGAGTTCGTGCACTCTGCTAAGATTCTTGGGACTTAGGTTTGAGTCAGAAGTAGAACGGAGCACTTTCGGGTTACTACCCTTGTGCCATCTCCGAAGAGTCACCAACAATACACGAAGAGACAGAGTCACAAACGTCAGCATTAGAGACAAAGGTGGAACAAGAGCATGCATGAAACATATTGCAAGACAGAGAATGGAGTGGTTTGGCCATTTAGTAAGAATGCAACCGGATCAGATTGCCTATAAGGACTTTTACAGTAGAACATCGGGAAGAAAGGCCAGAGGAAGACCCAGGAGAAAATGGATATATGGAGTAGCTGAATACGGTCAGAAGATCCAGAAAACTGTCACTCAAATCTCGCGAGAGGCACAAAACAAATATTTTAAACCACGACACTGGGCTGCAACCCGGTAAAAGTGAAGAAGACAATAGATAGACCCTTGTGCCATGATGGTGATCGTTATCTAAACCTGAATCTAAACGTATTATTGATATTGTCATTATTATTACTGGTTAGTGATATTGACTGCCAAAATAAAGGGGAGGGTTCAATCATAATCAGGTATAACAATAATGGTAGCAATAATAATGATTGTTATGAGTATTATTTTTTCTACCAGACCTGCTTTGTGAGTTACTATTCAACCTGTTAAAACGGGATACATGACAATGTTCATAATTTTAATAATTGTCAGAAAAAAATAAATGTGAGAAACAGTATAAATGAACACCTGACCTCTTATATCGTGACCACGACAGCAGAAAAGGCTAACACCCAGCAGCAGTATCTGTTTTGTGGCCATTATTTACCTCTGAGTCTTTTTCATGCATTTGCTATAAAAGTGTCGTTTGTTGTGGTTTACAGCTTGGTGGCGATATCGGCATTTTTCAAGATAACATTTCAATTTTTTTGGCAAAGCTGTAATTAGTCATCTTTTAATGTTATGCTTTTAAATGACATTGAGTCTGTCCCCCGCCCTCTCCTTACCCCACCCACCCACCTCTACTGGGGAGGGGAACCTTTCAGTCTTGTTACGAGGCTGTGCTAGCTCCTGGTCATAGCCGATGTTCTCTACATCTTGCCTTTTTCTTCTGTAAGTGTTTCTGTGAAACATGTTTTCTATCTTCTTGTACAGGAGGATATCTCCAAGCTTGTGCTAACGCTGACAAAGTCACTCTCCGAGAGCAATCTGCCTGTGGTCTCTATAGGACGAGGTTTGGAACCTGGTCAGTTGTTGGTGAGTACACTTTACCAGCTCTTGCAGCAGTTTTAAAGTAGTAATACTTTTCTTTAGGAGCAGCATGGCGCAGTGGCTAGCCTGTGTGTCTTCCTACGTGGTGGGGACTGAGTGAATTCATAACGAGGCCGATTTAAACAGGTTGTCAGGTCGACGCAGTTTAGAATAGGTGCTAGGAAAAATCTTTGGAAGTAAGAGAAGCATGTGCACATTAACTACACCCCAAGTAAGTGTCGATTTGTGTATAATATTACTGGGCTCCGAGAGAAACAAGAAGAAAGAAAAAAAAAGAAGAAAAAGAAATAAAAAAAGAAGTAGATAAAGAAGAAGAAGAAAAAAAATAGAAGAAGAAGAAGAAGAAGAAGAAGAAGAAGAAGAAGAAGAAGAAGAAGAAGAAGAAGAAGAAGAAGAAGAAGAAGAAGAAGAAGAAGAAGAAGAAGAAGAAAAAGAAGAAGAAGAAGAAGAAGAAGAAGAAGAAGAAGAAGAAGAAGAAGAAGAAGAAGAAGAAGAAGAAGAAGAAGAAGAAGAGAAGAAGAAGAAGAAGAAGAAGAAGAAGAAAGAAAAAGAAGAAGAAGAAGAAAAATAATAATAATAATAATAATAATAATAATAATAATAATAATATAAGAAGAAGAAGAAGAAGAAGAAGAAGAAGAAGAAGAAGAAAAGAAGAAAAAGAAGAGGAAGAAGAGGAAGAAGAGGAAGAAGAGGAAGAAGAGGAAGAAGAAGAAGAAGAAGAAGAAGAAGAAGAAGAAGAAGAAGAAGAAGAAGAAGAAGAAGAAGAAGAAGAAGAAGAAGAAGAAGAAGAAGAAGAAGAAGAAGAAGAAGAAGAAGAAGAAGAAGAAGAAGAAGAAGAAGAAGAAGAAGAAGAAGAAGAAGAAGAAGAAGAAGAAGAAGAAGAAGAAGAAGAAGAAGAAGAAGAAGAAGAAGAAGAAGAAGAAGAAGAAGAAGAAGAAGAAGAAGAAAAAGAAGAAGAAGAAGAAGAAGAAGAAGAAGAAGAAGAAGAAGAAGAAGAAGAAGAGAAGAAGAAGAAGAAGAAGAAGAAGAAGAGAAGAAGAAGAAGAAGAAGAAGAAAAGAAGAAGAAGAAAAGAAGAAGAAGAAGAAGAAGAAGAAGAGAAGAAGAAGGACGAAGGAAGAAGAAGAAGAAGAAGAAGAAGAGAAGAAGAAGAAGAAGAAGAAGAAGAAGAAGAAGAAGAAGAAGAAGAAGAAGAAGAAGAAGAAGAAGAAGAAGAAGAAGAAGAAGAAGAAGAAGAAGAAGAAGAAGAAGAAGAAGAAGAAGAAGAAGAAGAAGAAGAAGAAGAAGAAGAAGAAGAAGAAGAAGAAGAAGAAGAAGGAAAGAGTGAAAAAGAGAACAACAAGGTGGGGTAGGTGGAACATTAATATCAAAGGAATGATCATTTAGGTGAAACCTTTTGTTCGTAATCCAGGATAGGAAGGTAGCTTTCAGACGGTATACTTTTGGTAACATGATTTTACATTGTTGTCACTTGCATAATTAAGCCAGTGTCAAAGATAGGGTTGAAATCCGAAACTGTTATGTTGTACTACTGTGCTGTATTGTATTTGAATGCTGTGAAAATAATAATGTGCACTTAAATATAGATATATATGTATGTTACAGGGTTGCTTTGTAACTTTACGAAAACCTGATATCTGATAACTGTAATTTAAAAAAGAAGACATAATTATTATTGTCATTTGAATAAGAGATTTGAGCAAAGAGAATTTATAATAAGCAAAACCAAGTAAAGATCTTTACTGTCATTCCCAGTTTTTAGACAACAGGGCTGGAGCGACTTGATTGTGTTCACGTCTGTGCTTGGTTTTGGATCTATCATCTATTTGACTTTTGTCTTGCACTGTATTTAATTAAAAAGGGAATCTCTGTGCCGTCTCCACGTTGAAGGTTGTATGCAGTGCTCTCAGTGCTGTCCGGGAATATCAGGTGGTGGGATCCAAATATCTTCCACGGTACGACGCAACAGCTTCTTCTTTTGCTTTCTTTTGTCGTCTCACCGATACCAGGTTGTAGACCAGTGTCGTGGTTTTGTCGTCTCACCAATACCAGGTTTTAGCCTAGGGTCATGGTTTTGTCGTTTCACCAATACCAGGATGAAGCCCAGTGTCGTGGTTTTGTCGTTTCATCGATACCAGGTTGTAGCCCAGTGTCATGGTTTTTTCGTTTCGCCAATACCAGGATGAAGCCCAGTGTCGTGGTTTTGTCGTTTCATCGATACCAGGTTGTAGCCCAGTGTCATGGTTTTTTCGTTTCGCCAATACCAGGATGAAGCCCAGTGTTGTGGTTTTGTCGTTTCATCGATACCAGGTTGTAGCCCCGTGTCATGGTTTTGTCGTTTCACTAATACCAGGATGAAGCCCTGTGTCGTGGTTTTGTCTTCTCACTGATAGCAGGTTGTAGCCCAGTGTCGTGGTTTTGTCGTCTCACTGATACCAGGTTGTAGCCCAGTGTCGTGGTTTTGTCGTCTCACTGATACCGGGTTGTAGCCCAGTGTCGTGGTTTTGTCGTCTCACCGATACCAGGTTGTAGCGCAGTGTCGTGGTTTAGTCGTTTCACCGATACCAGGTTGTAGCCCAGTTTCGTGATTTGTCGTCTCACTGATACCAGGTTGTAGCCCAGTGTCGTGGTTTTGTCGTCTCACTGATACCAGGTTGTAGCCCAGTGTCGTGGTTTTATTGTCTCACTGATAGCAGGTTGTAGCCCAGTGTCGTGGGTTTGTCGTCTCAATGATACCGGGTTATAGCTCGTGTCGTCGTTCTGTCGTCTCACTGGTTGTGCCGTGGATTTCAGCCTTGTGCTTCTTAGTTAGGTGGGCGATGGATTTGTTAATCATTTGTGCAGGTTTCAGCTACCCCATTTATCCGTCTCTTTCTTGGTCTTTTCCCTCGCCTTTCTCCCAGATGTTCTGCTGTAAAAAGTCGCATAAGTTTGGTCTGTCTGCATTCTCACTAAACTGGCAAACAATTTCATTCTTTGTCAATATAAATCAAATACTGACTCTAAAACTGCACCAGGAGAACGATTATTTAAACAAAACATAATAAAATTGTGATTGCGGAAATCTAACCTAGTCCCCTAGGACTGCTTCTATGTTGAGATATTATTTTGTAAAATATTATAACCCATATCACTAACAAATTGATCCAGGGCCCGTGGTACTTTGTTATTTTTCCTACAGATTTCCCTTGGAGAGCTTCAAGGGATAGAGGCAGCGGACAGTCTTCACTGGCTTCACTGTGCCCTGAAATCGCTGTGTGCCAATGAAGGATATGACTTCACTAGGATGACCAGACCGATCGCCGGGGTCAGTGGGAACCAGAGCAACTACACAATGAGACTAACTACAGAGAACCACAGGTAGCACATAGCTCGTCATGGTCATCATTATCATCATCATCATCATCGTTCATTGTATTGTCATCTTGCAGCCTGTCCAGGCGATTGTGTTATGCTTTAAAAAGGCATGGAAATCACCGCCCATGTGATGTTGATTGTGACTCATCATCATCATCATCATCATCACCATTACCATCACCATCATTCTTTATCATCATGTGTCGTGCCGTTAAGCGTAAGATGACATGTTAAGCCATCTCCCACAATCACCAGTATCACGGATCAGGTCAATGTGTTTGTCTTGCCCCAATCCCTGTGGCCAGGCCGTTAGGATTTGTTCTTTTCGCATTCCTTTTGTTCTTTATCCATTAATCTTGCACGTTGTTACCAACTTCTCTAGTTCCTTCCTTCTAAAAAAAAGTATCATTGTTCTAAGTTTATGACTTTTCTTTGTCTCGATTAGGACTGTTTCGTTTTGTTTTTCTATCCCTCCATGATATTTTGTGTATTCTTAAACACCCCATCTCTGCCATAAGTAGATGTTTTTCAGCGTGTCTGCTCACTGTACATGTTTCACGTGTTCATAACAACACAGGCTCCACATAGCATTCTAACAACCTTTTTCTCACTGCAGCTGGCCACCTTCCTATTGGTAAGAATCTTGTGCATCTTGCTAAAGGCCAACCTTCGCTATGGCGAATCTTGATATACTTTCTGCAAGGCACGTTGCATCCGAAGTTATGACAGTCCCAAGATAAAAGCAATGTTTTTCCGCTCTCATTTTCAACCAAGACGACATAAACAAAAGATGGCACAATCAATTGCCTGGTATATTTCGCTGTATTTCTTCATACTACAGTATGAACTAAATAAAATGAAGCAAACAAATTAATCCTTCCTACTAAAACACAAAATCAACTAGACTCAAATGCAACTCTCTGCTTAACAGGGTAAACGTTAGGTGACGACCATGTCCTTTTGTCGACAAAATTCTGGACTGAACAGGTTTATAGCTGTTGCTTCCATAAATATCAATAATCTGCGTTGCCTGAAAGGGGAGGAACCAACAGTCCGCATACAAAAAAGCCAGATCTGTAAAATAGATATGCCCACAAAGCTTAAGTTCTAGAACCAGATCAAAGTCTAGAAGTGGACGAACAACCATAACTTTCCGCCGTAGCTGGTAAAGGCAAAGAAGAAGAAGACTTACAAGAATACTTCATGGTAGCCATTTTGTGATATATTGAACAGGGAGCAAAGGTCAGTTATCAAGAATTCACCGAGATGGGAATCGAATCCAACAGCATGGAGTCAACAGGCAAGCTTCCAGCCATTAGTTCTTCCTTTTCGCTGATTTTTATTTATTTATTTGGTTTCAAAATAAAGTGGCTGTCTGGTAAACATTGGATCATCCAGTCAGACCTACAAATACTTAGAGTCACCAGCAGGAAAGAGAAGCCGACCAGAGAGACGAATGGAGGCGAGTGATTTCTGCAGCAGCGAATCTCAGGTGCTGACTGACTGACTGACTTTCTACCCCACCAGGACATCACACAAGCGAAAAACACCCGATGACACAAAGTGCCACCTTGTGGGTGAGGATCACCGTGGAGAGGTCCCAGAAACCTCGTTCAGACAATTGGCCATATTTATGGCCTGCCTATTTTGCGGCCCCTGGCAAAAGCCAGAGTGGGGCTTAAAAAAAAAATTACGTCCTAAAAAGGACGTAAGGATAAATAATTCTGAGGTGCTCGTAATGTCGAAAAATAAGAAGTATTTGCTGTGTGTCCACCTCTGTGGTTGATGAGTTGTGAATGCCAAAAAATATCTAAATACCTGGTCCGGTCTAGCTGTCGGTCATTTGGCAGCACACCGATTTGCGTTGACTTTGACAATCGTAAGGAGTCTCAAACTTTGAGGGCAAAGGCAGACAACTGAACTTCAAATTGCCTAGTAAAATCACAGAACAGACAAACAAAACTGGGACATGTTCTGTAACGTGCTGTAAACAATAACGTACACACAATCAAGTTTTTTTTTTTTTTTAAACAATGCTATATGTCCATCTTAATTTTTTCTGATTGTGTTCTCTTGTAGCTGACCTAGTGTTTATCAAAGGTTCTATGTTCTATCTTTATTTAGATAAACTGCAATAAATAATTATCCATAAATAGAACTAAATGTAATTGAACAGAAATGCGTTTGGTGAGTCAAGCGCAGATGATGGACTATTACCTGTGGCACAGCACTGGATAGCTGGTCTCATACACCATGGTTCTGCAGTGACAGCACTAGCACGACCAACCTTGAACTGTTACCCAGATTCGGACAACAGCAGTGACCTCCTTAACTCCTGGACCACTGACAGCATGGACAGGTACATTCTCCCATTTTATAATAACACATTACTCTATCTCTATAGTCCCATAACAATGGATTCCATAAGTGGAACAAAAAGGAAGACCGGATCTAGAGCTCTGGTCATTGTGTGGGACTATGAACGGCAGTTGCCCACGTCTATCATCAGGAAACAACATTAGTGAACGAGTTCAGTAACAATTTTATAATCCTCGAGGAGGAGAGTTCAGTTTCCGAATTAATGGTTAAGAAAAAAACCTTCTGTTGGTTTTTAGAAAAGAAATTAAACCAGACGAGAAGTAAAACCACTGATCTTCACAATATCACACACATACCCACACACACACACACACACACTCTCTCTCACACACACACACACAAAAAAAAAAAACACACACACACACACATATATATATATATATATATATATATATATATATATATATATATATATACACACACACACACACACACACAAATGAAAAGTGAACGTTGCGACTAGAAAGCTTTCCTCAACACATTACATACATCTACGAAACCATAAGTATGGACAAAAATGGACAAAATCACTTAAATGACGTATCTCCGATAGAATTTACATCTCAATTTAACCAGAACTGACAGTGCATGGCCACAGGAAATAAATACTAGCGAGAAAAGCGGCTAGCGGCGTGGCCAAAACTAACATATTTTAAATAAATCTGTGTCGGATGTTAAGTCTCCTTTGTGAATTGGTCCATGAGATGGATAAGGCAGTTCTGGAGTCATCTTGATAGTTTAAATATAACCGCACTGGTTTGGGGTCACCATTCTGCTTGTCAGAAAGATGTTGCCTGAACCTGTCAGGTAGTCGTAACCCCATTTCACCGATGTATTTCCTACCACATCCTTTGCAGGTGATGGCGTAAATAACATAGTAGCTGGTGCAATAGAAAGTCTCAGGTCAAATGTCAAAGGTCAAACTCAAAGTAAAGGACCTTTTCCACTCCTTCATGCGTTTTGCGCATATAAGACTAGACATGCATTTTATAGACCAATTGGCACTTGGTGGGTGGTGTGGTCAGCATCACGCCGGTAACCTTTACTTCCCAGGACTGTACCTGGTACCTACCCAAGGCTGTGTTGATCTGAGAGCCAAGGTCATTTTAAAAAAAAAGAGTCGGCCTCTTTTAGGACCAGAAGCCACAACCTAGCCATCCGCAAGCGAGCGTCTAGCCAGAAGACTTGGAAGAAACCCCTCATTATTCGTCTCTTACGACATGCTTTTTAGGGAGGCAGTCAATTTGTGGGTTTTTCCGGCGTAACCTACACTGTGAAAACGAGGTTTACAGTTGTCCATGTTTGAGTCACGATACAGTGCACCTTCCTCCTTTGTGATGTGGGCGTTTGCGTGACATACCAGTGTTCTTTCAGAAAGTTCTAATTTCCAAAGCTCTCAAGAATAGTAAAAATATTGCTTCCTGATATGTGCACCCCCCCCCCCCCATCCCCCCACACACACACCTCCCTACATCATCTTCACTGTCATATGCCAGGACTCACAGGCTACAGGTGCACAAGTCCAATACTGGTGTTATCCTGACTGACCGGCTTCCGACCTTGGCCAGCAATCCTTACATTGTGTTGGGAGCCCTGATCGCTGCTGGGTTGGACGGCATCTTGAACAAGTTGGAGCTGAATGACCAGGTGGGCAAGGTTATTCAATATCTAGGTTTATTGATTCGTAGTTCCAGAGATTATCTTCACTATACATCTCGGCTTTGGAGGGGGGGGCATCAAGGGGTCTAAGACCCCCATGTCCCCGGCACCCCCTGCCTTTTTCACTTTCCTAATCTTTTTTTTTTTTTTTTTTTGATTTGCTTTTGTTGAAAACTGAAATATGATGGCCATATCAAGTGGAATGGAGGACTGGGAGTAATAGTAGCAGAAGGTATGGTGCCATGAAAGACCAGCACGACAATGGGCACAAGATATAAGTGACACCTTGGGTGGGTGAGGAGGGGGGGGGGGAAGAGGTGCAGGAGCGGGAGAATTAGCTAGAGTTTCTTTCCAGCAGGCAGGCTGCGAAGAGCGCGAGGTTCTGTGAAGGACCTGCTACATGATAACGATGAGTGTATTCTTAAAATAATTATGTCAGAGGTAACGAATTTGTATCTCATAAACATATGATTTGTCTTCTCAGCGTACTGCAACAAAGTGTGCGTGTGTCATTGCTTAAAACAAAATATGTACAGTATTTGTACTGACCAGCTGGTGCTGCAGAATCAGAAGTTCAACAAGTGATTCATGACCATTGCAGCTGGTGTGATATCTATACAGATAGCTCTGTGTTGAGGGGCAGATGTAGTGTAAGTGAGTTCATAGCAAAAGCGAATGGATATCGATTAGTGCAGCAAAGCCTGGCCTGGATTGAGAATCAGATGTACACGCATGTCGCAATTGTAACTAACACACAGACTATGATGAGAAAGATGGAGACAGGCATGTACCGTACAGAGTGGCAAACATTGCTTCATAGGTCCCAGGTAGTTAGCGTCCTTTGGATATTTTTCTCCAGGTAATGCTAAGGTGTTGGAAAACAAGCAGGCAGATAGAATGGCCGGTTCTGCACCACTTGGTAGTTAATTTATGTATGACAAGCTAGATGTTGGGAAGTCCCTTTGGGATTGAGTGAACGATGCGGAGGCACAAATAGATCATTACTGTCTGAGAAGAATGGCGCTGCGGGGAGTTACCAGGGGATCTGGCCGACTCTGAACACTCAAGAGAAGGAGGAGACGGATGTACAATCAGACAGTTGCTGGTTCAATCAAAACTGGAACTCTTCGCTTGCTGCTGAAGGTGCGGACAAGCGCTTATGGGAGTGTCCCGAGTGCTATGATGTCGATTCTCAATTTAACATTCCACATTTTTGTACAGTAATTTAAAAAAACATCTTCTCTTTTCTACCCATTTCAGGCGACAGTCATCTTAAGGATTCCACCCACATTTTGTCACGCTCTTGCATCACTGGAGGAAGATAAAGTTTTTGAGAACTTGATTGGTCAGAAGTTTGTTCATAGATTTGCTCTTCTGAAAAAGGAGTACGAGTTAGCACGCTTGGAAAAATGGCGGGTAGAAACAATTGGTCAAGATCTTTTGGATTTTGAAAGATCACTTTATTTGACATCTTTGTAAATGTATCACAATGTACAATTAAACAATTAACATGTAACTTGTTGAATAATATTTTGAAAATAAGTTAATGTACAATAACAAATAACATTGTTATAAAACGACAATTAAGGACGTTGAACGAAATTTATTTTTTAAAGGGTCATAAATTGAACACGCAGGCCGGTCTTACATTCGGCCCTTTCAAGCATTCCTCTTTCACACCACGATGAACATATGAGCATACCAGTTTGAAATATGTTGGTATGATGGCTACAATTTTTTAATATGTGACTACACACAGAGTTGCAGTGGGTAGTATCCTAACCTGCTGGTCTGTTGGTCTTGTGTTTTCCAACACAACGTAAGCATTAGAACCAACATATCTTAGTCGACTCAGTCGGTGAGTGAATGTTAACCTCACTAGGGTCGCACAATGATCGATTAACACTGTGACGCAAAGTGCAATACATTGTTACTCGGATGAGAATCCCCCAGGACAAGAACTTCCTGGGTGGGGCTGTAATATATATATATATATATATATATATATATATATATATATATATATATATATATATATATATATATATAGAGTAAGTAAGTAAAGCACCCTTTACCACGCCTTTAAGGCATATTGGGTATATAGGGCTAAACTTATATTTTATAGACCAAACGGCACTTGGTGGATGATGTCGTCAGCATCACACCGACCGCCTTTACTTCCTAGGACTGTACCTGGTACGCACTCAAGGATGGGTCGACCTGGGAGTCAAGGTCATTTTTAGAAGAAACAAAACTCAGGCCCTCAAAGAAATACAAACCCAAGACCTTCAGATCGGTAGCTGAGCGTCTAGCCGCTCGACCACAGTGGCTCTCCAATATATATATGTGTGTGTGTGTATGTGTGTGTGTCCCACGGTAGGGCGGGTAGTTCAACCCATTCTAAAATTTGTAGAGCCAAATATTAATTAAGGTAAAAGCGACTGGTGTTATTACTAGCCTGTTACCGATGGGGTGACAGTGAGTCTGTACAAATATATGATCACTACCACGTACACAACATTTTTGATGAATGTTTAGTTCCGTATCTTTTACAGGACGTTGCAGAATCAACCCTAACAACCCCTTGCTGCTGTGTGGGTTTTTCTAGGTAAATTTACGTCCAGTAGTTGGCATTGCTTTCTGGACGGTCGGTTTTCTTGATACCACTGACGAAACTAACGCAAGGCGCATGGCCGGCAGCTGGGGTCAAACCTGGCATCTCGGCATTACGAAGCGTTCGCATCGACTTAGCCACAGAGCCGACACACCTCTGATATTTTGTATAATTATTTATTTTTTTAGAGTGATTATGTAATGTTCTTATTGTAATAACTATGCAGCTTCGTTCAAATCAAACAAGGATTAGACACAATAGCCAGTTAAAGCCAGCCTGCACTGGATCGCAAATTACTCCTCCCCACGCCGCTTAATGGCAGAAGTGGTTTATGATGATGATGATGATGATGATGATTAGGTAGGTAGTCATTTCACTTTAGGACAGACACTCTGTAGAATAAACATCTCAAGCATGAGAATACAATGTAAAAAGTTGAAGCCTAGAAAAAACATTATAATTAGGCACCCAACATGAGTAACGTGAAGTCTGGACCAGGCTAGAAAAACTTGTAGACCAGTGTTGCGATTCGTAATTCACATGTAGACTGAAGAGTTACTCAAGATAATACAGTAATATGAAATGCACACAATACTGTAGTATTTATACATGTATGTGTGTTAGTATATGTTTAATTACACTCACACACACACACACACACATACTCACACACACACACACATACACACACACATACTCACACACACACACACATACACACACACACGCTCGCTCACGTGTAACACTGATTGAATTCCATGCTTTTGTCCGTTTATAACAAAAGGCAAGAGGAGCTTTCATAGCACTAGGGAATTTGTGGAGGTCAAAACAAATTACAAGAAATACTAAACTAAAAATTTTTAATTCTAATGTCAAATCAGTACTTTTGTATGGGGCGGAAACATGGAGAACAACCAAGGCAATTACCACAATAAACTACAGACATTCATTAACTTGTGCAGAATAGAGGGAATTAAATGTTATGATAGAATAACTAATGTAGAACTTTGTGAGAGAACTAAACAGGCTCCGGTGGAGCAAGAGGTGAGGAAAAGACGCTGGCATTGGATAGGACACACACTGAGAAAACAGGAGAACAGCATAACTAGAATGTCTTTGCATTGGAACTCACACGGGCATAGGAATAAAGGAAGGCCAAAAAACACATGGAGAAGAGAGCTGGAGAATGAGGTTAGAGAGATGGGGAGGACATGGGGAGAGCTCCATGTAATAGCGAAGGATAGAATGACTTGGCATGAGAGTTGGTTGAGGGACTATGCTCCATTGGGGGATAGAAAGGCAGAAGAAGAAGAAGAAGATTCCGCATAGGGCTAGCAGTCTATTCCTCCACTTCCTTCTATCCTGTGCAATCAGTTCAGTATCAGCAGCTTTGGCCTTTCTCGTCAGTTTTAGTTGTTGGGTTTCTTGTAGGCGTTTTCACCTCTTATCCCCTTTATTTCCCATTATAATACCTCTTTGGTGATTCTCTGCTCGTCTTTTTTTTTTTCGTAGAATGTGCCCGGTCTAGCGCCACCTTCTCTGTCTTACAAGGTCATAATAAAATCAGTCTCTCCCCGTGTGGGTTCCGGGACCCCATTGTGGGAAAACAAGAATAGACCCACTGGCTATTCAAAAGCATGTCGTAAGAGTCGACTAACTGGGAGCTTCCTTTGAAGTCGGAGTGCATCTACCTGAGAGGCAAGGAACCAACAGTCTGCACTCAAGTGAATCAGATCTGTTAAACTGATGTACACGCAACACTCAGGTTCTGGAGCAGGACTGCAGTCCAGGAGTGGACGAGCAACCAGAACTTTCTGCCAGAATGTACAGCTGGTGAACGCGAAGAAGAAGAAGAAGTAGAAAACCAGTCTCATTACTTAATTGACGGACCTTGTATAATTATTGACACTAGTGGTTGTCTGGACAATTGATCTTATGTCTGTACCGCTCTTGAATTCATCCCACGTTTATTTTATGCACACCTACTTCTAATATCAGTATTATAATAGTAAGTAATAATTTGTCATTCACGACAGCTCATTGGTCAAGAACTTTCATTTTCTCCCAAAACAGACAGACAAAAGCACGCATCCACACCAACACACACACATACACACACACACACACAAATACACAAATGCAGACTCGTGCATACAAGCATACACATTATATATATATATGGCTGTGTGTGTATTTTGTGCGTGTGCTTATGGAAGAGAGAAAAGGTGACGGGAGAGAGAGAAAAGAAAAGACACAAATTTACTTTGTTTAACGCAGATATCTACCGCCTTGTGTAATGAGTGTTGTAGATAATTCCTGACACAGACAATGCGACGTTATGAGTATCCACAATGTATAATTCACAGCTCAGTGATTCTTCTAGGGTGTCGAGACCAGTCAAGAGGAAAGAACCCGCTTCTTCCATAGGACGTCATCTTCTTAATTCCGGACACATAATTGACACAGACAGTGATTTCCGTGTGGTTTACCACACTCCGAACAGGAGACTTTTGAGAATCGCAGAAGCCATTACAATAAAAATCAACAACTCCCTCCTTTGTAAGCAGGCGGAATTTATCATACATTTGAAGTTACCCTGGTAAGTCACGTGACTACGGTGAGCTTCCGGCGGCCATGAAACAGAGACAATGTTTCGAAAGAAACTATTCGCATTTCAGTTGGATTTATTCAGTTTTGTGCTTTATTTTGTGTTGATGTAACTCTGTAGTAACGAACCTGATGAGATACAGCGAAATATGTCTGGCAATAAATTATGCAATGTATTTTTTGTATTCGCCTTATTTAAATTCATTACGGAAAAACATTGTTTTGAATGTATAATTTGTCCCTTTTCATCGCCATCATCAGTTTTTACTTCTGCCGTTAGACGCCGTGGGGAGGAACAGTTTGTGATCCATTGCTTGATGAACAACAATGGCTATTTTCATTCCGTGTCGATGTAGCAGCTCTTTAATGTTATCGATCCATTACCTCCTGGGACGACCTCTTGGTTTCAAGTTAGAGCTGTTCATGTGTACCGCCTGCGCTGGTTGTTGTTTTGGTTGCATTCTTGATATATGGCCAAACCATTTCATCTTCTGCTTCTCAATGAATTTGCTGCATGATGTTGTTCCTCTGTCTGTCTGATAAAAACATTTCTAACGTGGCCTAAAATGGTTAATTTGGCGGCTTTCCTAGGTCATCTCATTTCACAAGTGTTAATTTTACGTAGGTTAGCCTTTGACAATGTCCAAGATTGGCACTGGCAGCACAGTATTAGTATGAATATGTTTATAAATTCTTTTTTGGCGTCGGTTGTTATATAACCACACTGGCTCGTTGTTATTTTGTTTCTATTTCCCGATCTATTCTCCCGTACTTCGAGAATATACTTCATTGATATTTGCTTCAGACAAGTTCCCTTCAACCCGATATGTTGCTGACTATAAATTATGCATTAGTTTTCAGTTTTGGTAGCTATTTTTTTTTTTCTTCACGTTATAATCTTCTGCATGTTGAACTTTGCTTGTTTAAATAGTCTTTGTCTACTGCATGTTGAACTTTGCTTGTTTAAATAGTCTCTGTCTACTGCATGTTGAACTTTGCTTGTTTAAATAGTCTCTGTCTACTGCATGTTGAACTTTGCTTGTTTAAATAGTCTTTGTCTTCTGCATGTTGAACTTTGCTTGTTTAAATAGTCTTTGTCTACTGCATGTTGAACTTTGCTTGTTCAAATAGTCTTTGTCTACTGCAAGTTGAACTTTGCTTGTTTAAATAGTCTTCGTCTACTGCATGTTGAACTTTGCTTGTTTAAATAGTCTTTGTCTACTGCATGTTGAACTCTGCTTGTTCAAATAGTCTTGCA